GCGAGCCACGCCGAGCTGTCTGGTCAGCCGCGTCGAGGCATCAAGCGAGCCACGCTGAGCTGTCGGCGAGCCGCGCCGAGCCGCTGAGCCAGCCACGGCGAGCCGCGTCAAGCCACTGAGCAAGCTACATCGAGCCAAGCGAGCCACGTCGAGCCACAAACAAGCCATCCGAACCACGTCCATCTACTCGGCCACGACCACGACACGTCTCCAGCAACAAGCTAAGAACAAGATTGACGCTCGCTTCATTGCTGACCTATTGCTGGGCTGCTCGGAGCTCTCCGACCAGCTAAGCTGAGGACTGGTCGGAGTTCGTCTTCTTCGCCCAAGCGTCGCCAGCTGATGGAGGAATATAATTCTGACACTCATTTCGTGCTCGGGGAGGGGTCTAGATGACTTCCGACCACTACGAACAAGCATTCCCGACCAAGCTCGGGGACTCGTCGTTCTCACCCCACGCTGTGCTTGGGGACTGCCCCGACCACTCTCCGACCACAGCCCGGAGACTGTTCTCCTCGGCTACATGTGACCTAGACTCACATACAGTTGAGAGGCATTTATTTTCTTTGACCTTGCTACAAGGCTCATACTTCGCCTTCCAGCAAGCTCGGGGAACCTTTCAGCATCATACTTTATTACACCTCACACTCCGACCGCGAGTCAAACCAGGGCCATACAAACCTTTTAGGATGACGTGTCGACTAAACCGGTACAACTAAACAGAACGCCAACACGTTCTAACTTAGTTACACCAACATGATATCCGAGCTTAAACACGTTTTCTACAAAAACAAACAAGCTTATGTTGATATACAATTACGTTATTACAAGCTTGCCTGAAAAGGTCTAAGTTTACAATAACACAACTACATCTTCTTCTACAGCTATAGCCTACACTATTGGTTGGTCGGGACACGCGACGCTTGCTGCTCGCTGGGCCTGCCATCGTGCTCGGGTCTCGGGGACTCTGGCATTGATCGAGCTGAAGAAGATGGCCCCGCCGATGCCTGGCTGGTCGAGACCGCAGGCTTCGCTGGTTGGCTTGAAGATGACGGCGCTCCCAGCTGACTTGTTGATGGCGTTCCTTGTACGGGTGCTGTCGCACCTCCACACAGGTTAATATCGTCAATTATTTTCGCCGACAAGTCCAGCTGGGTCATCCGTAGCTCCTCGGCCTTGTCTGGATCTACCTCCTTCGGGTATTCAGCCTCTAGGCGCTTGAGGCATATGGTTTTTTGCCACACTTTTTGTGCTCGGAGACTGTTCCGACCACTCTTGTGCTCGGGACTATCTCGATCGTCTTTGTGCTTGGGGACTGCCTCGATCACTCTCTGACCACAGCTCGGGGACTTCGTCGCTCGCTCCTCGACCTGTGCTCGGGAACTGCCTCGACCACTCTCCGACCATAGCTCGGGGACTTCACGTCTCGACTACATGCGATTGGCGACTTGCATACAGTTGGGATATTTTTTCTCCTTTAGACCTTACTACAAGGCTCATACCTCGCCTTCCAGCTAACTCGGGGACTACATCGGTACGATGCACCTGCCGGTGCATCTCGTATTGCCTGTACGACGATTGGATTCTCAATTTAACTGGGAATTCTTTTTAGACCCTGGCACCACGTGCCTACGTCACCTACTACCAGGCTCGGGGACTAAGTGGACACACTTCACCTTACGGTGAATGTGCTCGATCTGATGGATCAAACGCCTCCGATTCTACAAGGACGACGGTGTCTCTTCTCGACTCAAAGTCAAAGTGGGCACACTTCGAGGGAAATAGTTTTCAAATTTTATCTTGAGCCCCTTACATCCTTATGGCAAGCTCAAGACGGCGCTACTCGAAGGATACAATGCGCTCGGGGACTAGCTGTGGGGAAATAGACCCCCTATACCCTCATGGGTATACATGGGCTGCACCACCGGAGGTGGCCCGGTCCGCAAGATGAAGCGTGTGGAGCACGCTATATTGTAATTGTACCAAATTGGATACTTTACTCGTAACCTTGTCTTTTCGGAGTATAGAAGGAGGAGCAAGGGTCCCCTAGAGGACAGATCATAACAGATCTCACCCCAGATCAATACAAATAACAGAGCACATGACGTAGGGTTTTACGCCACACTGGCGGCCTGAACCTGTATAAATCTTGTGTCTTGTGTCTCTGTAACCATCTGGTTCCTGATTACACACATACTACCGATAATCTACCACCACGGACACCCCCTCAGTGGACTGCCGACCATATTTCGTCGACAGGTACCTACAAGCAGATAGGGAAAAAGTGAGAAAAGAAGGCAGTTCAACTATTTGATATGAGGTGCATAGTAAGAGCCTCGATGATAAGACCAGCCCCAACGCGGGCGGTCAGTAGCGTATGCCTCGGCCAAAAAGTACAGGACATGTAGACATAGTGCACACATTCAGCTTTTTGTCATAGGCTTCTTTTCCCGTTCTCCCTCTCAGCCTCTGAAAAACTCCCTCTCAGCCTCTGAAAAAGCACGAACTAGCTCTGCTCTCTAGCCCACAACGGCATGCTTGCCTTGGTGCCTGAAACTTAAGTCTGATGAGGCCTTCATTTGCAGCCTCTGCAGGCGACTACAACCTGCTTCGAAGACACTAACAGGCATGATATGGGTCTCGCGCGCAGACGTGAAAGACGGGGATACAAGCCAGCTTGGCGCGTTGGGGGTGGCCTTAGTGCACATAACATAGGCAATATAACCTCAAAAGGTAATATAATATGCTAAATCGTGTTCCTCCGCCTTAGCGCCCTTGATTTTTTGAGCCATCGGATGGTGCTGTCAACGGTCCCTGTTCATCTTCTCCGGCGGGTATAGAAGGGGCCGGCCGGGGGAGGTAGGCCGGCCAGGCGGTGAGGACGGGGATCGGACGGCTTAGGGGCTCTGGCAGCTGCGGAGACGGCCGGGCCAGGGAGGGGCGGGGGCGTCGCGGCATCGCCCCCGAGTATGGCCATGGTGGAGCTCCGCGCGAGAGGGGGAGGGGAAGAAGGCGGCCGTCGTGGGCGCGTTAGGTTTCGTCGTCCTAGCACGCCGGAGCTCCGGTGAACCCTAGCGTGTCCGCGACGGGGCGGTGGGAGCAACGAACTGAGGTGGAAGATGAACAGTAAATCGGGTGTTGCAACACCCGAGTGCAGGGTAGACAGACCCAATATAATATGTTATGAGTACACGTAATTTGATGAAGAGATTATTATATCCATGCCGGCGTGCATTTTCTGATGAAGGCACGTTCGCGTGCCCTTAAACCTGGCTTGATCCACTTCTTTTTTCATCCGGAACAGTGTTTTTTTCTCACAAATTCCTCCAGCATTCCTCCAAACCATCCAAATTCCTCTAGAATTTCTCAAAACGAACAGGCCCGAAGAGATTCTTTCAGTAACAAGCAACATTTCTATCGACGATGAGACCACGTGATCACTTGGTCAATTTTGAAATATGTGGATTCAATCTTGTAAAGGCTGGGGTCCAGTTCATATGGGAATCGTAAAAAAATGTTAGCCACTGGAGTTGCAATGTTTTTTGTTCAAAAAAGTTTATGTGAAAGTTCTTAACGTTCCAATGGGAAACTCGACCAACAAAATTGTTTGTAACGGGAAACTGATGGCAAGAAATTTTCTTTTCCTTTTTATTATGTCGACGGATCACTGATATGCTGATGGCAGCAAATCGTAGGAGCGAATCGCAGTTCAATCAAAATGGGCAAACGAGAAAATTCTGCACTTTCCTCAAAACAGCGCAGTTGTCAGCGAGAAACGCGCCAGTCCATCGGATGACTACGTAGAACGACCAGAGCCCAGAGGGCACAGAGGCTCGTCGAGTTCAACAGAATCACGAATCTCCGGCTAGGAATCAGTATTTGACATTATAGTATTTTTGTTTGTATTTGATAATTATTGTCCAATCATGGTTTAATTAGGCTCAAAAGATTCGTCTCGTAATTTATAATGAAACTGTGTAATTAGTTATTTTTTTATCTACATTTAATACTCCATGTATGTATCCAAAAATTTGATATGATGAAAAGAGAGTGAAAAAACTTAGAATCTAAACAAGGCCTCGAGCCCAAATTTTGAATTATCCCGCTCTCGCCTCTCCCTTCACAGCCTCTCCAGCCACCGAACGCCAATGACACGTGGGCCCATGCCGCCACGAGAGGTAGCGGACGCCGCACCGGACGTGCGCCATCGGCTTTGATCGAGCCCCTGTAATCCGCCGCTCCGCTCGGCGTGCGAAGTGCTGAAGTGGGCAAAGAGGTGGCTGCGCCGCGTTAAGGGCCTGTTTAGATTTTAAAAAAATTTACGCAGTACTCGTCGCATCAAATCTTACGGCACATGCATGGAGTACTAAATGTAGATGAAAAAAAAAACTAATTGCACAGTTGGGTAAGAAATCGTGAGACGAAACTTTTGAACCTAATTAGTCTATAATTAGACACTAATTATCAAATACAAATAAAATATTACAGTGAACCAAAATCCAAAAAATTTTGATGTAAACGGCCTAAGAACCCTCCCCTGATTTCCCCACCCATCCACACGCAATTCTGACTTCCCGCCCGTCCGGGAACGCCACCCCACCGGCCACCGGCTCATCGGTTGGCTCTCCAAAGCGCCTGGCTGCATGCCTGCATCCCCTCGCCTCGCTTACCCAACCGGCCACCCCTTCCTCCGATCTCCAAAAGCACCGATCGGAAAGTTGGAACACTTTGCAGCCGCAAAACCCTTGCCCTCTGCTTCTCCTCCTCCTCGCCCCCCGTCTATGATCGTTGAGCCGGCGCCAATGTCCCTGGACCCGGCCCCGCCGCCACCGCCGCCGACGCCGCCGCCGCCGACCGAGCCAAGGTGGTCCTCGAGGAGGCGCTTCAAGTCCGCCGCCGCGGCGGAGGCCGAGATGTCGCGCGCCCCGACACGCACGCGCCAGCGCAGGGCGTGGAGGGGGAAGCCCGGCCCTGATGCCCGTGCAGAAGTCGAGGCGGCGATGGAGGATGCGGAGGCGGAGCTCGACGGGGCCGATCGCGACGTGCCAACTGGCAGCCGCCTCCAGAGCACCGCGGTGAAGGAGAAGCCACGTAAGCGTAAGAGAGCTGCCAAGGAGAAGGCGGAGGAGAGGGCGGAGGCGCAGGAGCCAGAGGCTGCCGACGACGACGTGTGCGCGGAGGAGCCGGACTCGGAGGAGATGGTGGAGGAGGAGTTGGAGGAAGCCGCGGTCGCGTTGGAAGCGGAGGAGGAGGAGGAGGCCAAGGCCGGAGGAAAATGGTCGGCGGAGAAGGTCGGGGCGAGGAAGCGGGTGGCGCTGCCGAGCACGGAGAGAAGGGCGGACGCCTCGGAGGACCACTTCGTGGGGGAACCGGTGCCAGACCATGAGGCGAGGCAAAGATGGCCGGAAAGGTACAAGACCAAGGTAAGGCCTTTCTCGTAGCATGCAGACTTGTTATTCATCTCCAAATGTCGCTTGTCTGCTCAGTACGATGTTTAGGATACTCAGTTTCAATTGAAACTGAGTTTACATGTTGTGTTAGATCGGTTCGTAGTTTATGTGTAGTTCTTGCGTCTTACATTGGATCAGGACCAAGGTAAGTCCTTTCTCGCAGCATGCAGGCTTGTTATTCATCTCCAAATGTCGTTTGTTTGCTCAGTGCTATGTTTAGGATACTCAGTTTCAATTGAAACAGAGTTTACTTGTTGTGTTAGATCAGTTCGTAGTAGTTTATGTGTAGTTCTTGCGTCTTACACTGGATCAAAATTGCGTGTAGTTGAAATATATGCCATGTTCGCTTGGCTTATAAGCCGTACTTTTTCAGCCAACGAATAATATTTTTCTCTCACAATAAATCAGCCAACAATACTTTCAGCCATGGCTTATCAGCCAAGCGAACAGGGCAATAGATGTGAGATTCTATTAGAGTGCGCCAAAAGTTAACTTTATTGTGTATTCTGAGCTATCTTGTGGAATAAATGCATCATTATTACCATTTAATCTATTTTATCACTTCTCATTAGACGGTATGTTTGAAAAACTGCAACTGATAAGCACAGCCTTTTACTCTGATCTTTCTCGTGGAGTAGCTTGGAAAACTGCAACTGATAAGCACAACCTTTTTTTATTACAGGGCCCTGATGTAGTCGCTAAACGGTATGTCTTGCTGAACCTTTTGCACTGCTCTAAAAAGAGGATTTTTGTCATAAGCATTGCTAATGTAAACTGGAATGTATATATGCAGTTGTGCTGAGGATGAAGAGCTAAAGGCCAGATGCCATTATAGAAGGGCAAGATTCTTTTCTATTCAAACGCTAAAATGGCTGAACGTCATGCTCCCGATTTGATCTCTATTATTTCTACTAAATACTCCCTCCATTCTTTAATATTTGACGTTGGTAAGTTCAAAACTGAACTAACAATGTCAAATAGTATTAAAGAACGGATGTACTATGTTAAGTAATTGGGAGTTTGGGACATGGTTCGCAAAAGTGTGATCCCAGATTATTCTTCTTTGATAACTCTCATATATCTTTGTGTTCAAATCAAGTGAACCAATCATGCAATTGTTGAGGGCCTGAGGAATTTATTATGCAACATAACACGTTATCCTTGTATTTACCCCATGCTTGTATTTATAGTATTCTCCTGGTGGTCTAAATATTTATGATAGCATGAAATTTGAAGTGCGCTGTTACTGCTTATAGAGCAAACAACTTCATTCCTTTTTATCTCACACAGTAAATTCTTATTCAGGACCTCAGGTAGTAGATGGACATGTTGTGGAATTTTTTTTTTGTGTTTCAATGCAGAATATGGTTTTAGCAATTCATGTGGAATTTCTATTTCTATTTAGTCTTTGTTATTAATGTTTGCCCATGATTCTTACTTCTGCAGTCTGGTCCCAACGAGGAAAATTACATTGGACGGATTACAGAGTTTTTTTAAGGACTAGATCATGGATCCTATTTCACATGCCAGTGGTTTTTCCGTACAACAGATACAGTAGGTGGCAGGCTATTTGCCCATTTCTTAGAAAGAAGGCATCATGTGTGACAGACATTTCTTTGCAGGTTATCTCACCAAAATTACTAAAAGTTCATGACCACAAGCATGATGAAACGAGAGTTTTCCTTTCAGAGGAAAGGAATGATAACATGATCGAGTGTATAGTCTCAAAGGTTAAGATCATTCATCTTAATCCAAATGTTAGTGCCTTCATTTTCATGCATGATTTTTTCATACTTGCTCCATATTATTTCTCATGTTTGCTCTGAATTTTTTTAATGTGTTTTTTTCCTGAACTAGATGGCTCCCCAAGGTAAAGCTCAGTTCACTAAAGATTGGGACTTCTATTATGACATGTCTTATTCAGTTGCATATTCAACATTTGCAAATCTGCCAGCAGGTAACTGTTTTTATATAGTATTTCTGATCGATATTGCAGTCATCACAGATCACCAATTTCTGTTTCAGAAAGACTTGGATAGAACATGTGAATATGTGATGATTAATTTGGAGATGAATGTTCTATGTATCATGTTATTAATTTTTACTGCTTGCATTGTTCTGCCTATTTTTTCTTCCTGTGTATTTTGAGGGAGTTGTTCTCTTGTAGATAATGATGGTGTTTCAAGCAGTGAAGCATCAAGCATTTCTGATGATGCTGTTGATTCTTCCAAGGAAACACTAGTTTCTGGCTTTCATGCATCATCTGATGTACACACAAAAACAACATCATTGCTGGATCTTTATTCTGGATGTGGCGCCATGTCGACTGGGCTTTGTTTGGGTGCCGTGCTGTCCAACTTTAAATTAGAGACTGTATGTATCGTGCATACAATTTGTCAGATATTTAGATATTTATTAGGTGCCAGTGAAGATATTTTCTACGGGAACGCTAATATTTGCAATCTTGTGCAGCGATGGGCAGTAGACATGAACGCATATGCTTGTGAGAGTCTTAAGTATAACCACCCACGTTCAAAGGTTGTCCTTTCCACTGTCAAACTGCTACCAAGTGGCTTACCTGCTTAGAGTCCACTATACAGAAATCATGACCAGTGTTTTTGTACTTCTCTTTTGAAGGTGCGAAATGAAAAGGCTGAGGATTTTCTTGTCCTTCTTAAGGAGTGGGATGCACTTTGTAAGAAATATATTGTCCAGAAAGACACTATATTGGAATCTGAAGTAGCCCGGTCCTTAACTGATGATGAAGATGAACCTCTTTCGGAAGACACATATGAGGTAGAGAAGCTTCTTGATATCTGCCATGGTGATCCAAATAGCAGTAGAAAAGTTGGCCTATGGTTTAAGGTACTAAAAATTTGATTGTATGCACATGTGTTTGCTTTCAGAACTACAGAGTTCATTCTTTTGTATTCCCTCCGTTCCAAATTATAAGATGTTTTGGCTTTTCTAGATATATTGCTTTTACTATGCATTTAGACATAGTGTACATCTAAGTACATAGAAAAACTATGAATCTAGAAATGTCAAAACGTCTTATAATTTGGAACGGGGGAAGTATTTATCTTGTTTTTAATATTTTGTATTGATTACTTGAAACATTTTCATAAAGATCTTTCTTAAGGTTGTTGTGACTTACAGGTGCAATGGAAAGGATATGATCAGAGTTATGATACATGGGAGCCAATTGATGGCCTTAGGTTGTTTTTACCATTTTTGTTTTTATATTATGTTTTGTGTACATTGTCTTATGCATTATACATGTTTCATGGATTGCCTTAACTGTATCAAAGATTTTGTAGAAAGAGGATACAGGGAAAATATTTTGCCCTTGCCTGTAAGTATTTACGTTTTCTGGCTTGTTTCGGGCACCTTTGATGTGTTATTTGAATGTTCTTCCCAATTCCAAAGGGCACTGTTGACGTGATCTGTGGAGGTCCTCCTTGCCAAGGCATCAGTGGATTTAACCGATTTAGATCGCGTGAGGATCCACTGAAGGATGAAAAAAACAAACAGCTGGTTGTTTTTATGGATATCGTGGAGTATTTGAAGCCCAAATACGTTCTCATGGAAAATGTTGTGAATATATTGAAATTTGCTGATGGATTCCTTTGGGAAGTATGCATTGAGTCGGCTTGTAGCCATTAATTACCAAGCTAGGCTTGGGTTGATGGTCGCAGGATGTTATGGGCTACCACAATTTAGAATGCGCGTATTTATCTGGGGAGCTCTTCCATCAATGGTTGGACACTCTAGCTCTTTGCTATTTTACTTGCTATATTACATAGTATGGTTCAATAAGGATGTATACCTTTACAATTTAGGTACTACCAAAGTTTCCGTTGCCTACCCATGATGTTGTTAAGAGAGGAGTAGTGACAAATGCATTTGAGGTAAGAGACTAACCATAACATACCAAATTTCTTTTATTGACATTGTCTAGCTACTATGCTACTTTTGCAAAGAAAGTGTGGTAGCATATGATGAAACAGAAGCTCCAGAGTTGAGGAAAGCTATACCCGATGCTATATCCGATTTACCAGGGTTAGTGGTTTATATTTTACCTTGTCTTTACCCTTTTGTTAAGATTCTGCTTAAACATTATTTATGGTATTCTTTTTCTGTTTGCACTATATATTATTTTCTACAGGTTGCAAACCATCAACCCAAAGATGTGATGGACTTTATCGTTGGCCCTAAAACAGAATTCCAACGCTACATCCGGCTTAACCGTAAAGGTAACCCACCAAGTGTTGCCAATTGAACTTGATAACCATAGAACAATAAGTGACCATGTGTAATCTTTATTATTTGTATTCATAAAGTGATTCTTTTTTCCTTAAAAATATGGCAACATATCAGGTGCAAACCAACCAACATGTACAAACTTGGAAACTACCAATCAAGACCACTAGATGCTGATCCAATGGATGGGGTGAGGGGGCTTAAGCGCAAAAAAAAAGGCCGGCGGGTGGGGGGCTTAAGTGCAAAAAAAATTCTACCTCTCACCCCATCCATTGGATCAGCATCTAGTGGTTATGATTGGTAGTTTTCAAGATTGCACAGGTTGGTTGGTTTGCACCTGATACGTTGCCTAAAAATATTCAGTTGGTGGGTAGTTTTGATAACGCCTTTTGCATTTTCTTTACCATTTGATCGCTTTTGTATACTCTATTGATTATATTGTTATTCTGGAAATTCTGTTATTGTTCTAAGCCATGATGGACTACTCCTTCGATGGAGAGGTTGATTCTGGCGAAGGTAAACTGTTTGACCATCAGCCTCTAAGACTAAACAATGATGATTACGAGCGTGTGCAGCAGATTCCTCTTAAAAAGGTTAGCCAGTGATGATGAATATCATACTATCTATTGTTTGTCATGTCAAGTACTCCCTTAGCAATTATTGCATTTTAGGGGGCCAACTTTCGTGACCTCAAAGGTGTACTGAATGAAACTTCATGTTTATTCTATATAGAACTTGGTGTGTAACACTTGTTTATGCTTTGCAGACCGTTTGGACGTCTGTGGTGGGATGAAATAGTTCCCACTGTTGTTACCAGAGCTGAGCCTCACAATCAGGTTAAGACTATAAGAATTCCTTTATATATCTACAGTACGAAGCCTGTTTTTTTTTTTTTTGGTGATTGAGCCTGGATGATCTTTTGCAGATTATTTTGTATCCCAGTCAAGCTCGAGTTTTGACCATCCGTGAAAATGCAAGGCTGCAAAGTTTTCCTGATTATTACAGGCTGTTTGGCCCAATAAAGCAGAAGTAACTTTCTCTACCATGTTCACATCAGTTCGACTGAACATACTGACTTGTTCGTTGTTTATGCTATGAAGCTGGTCTTATTGTGTTGTGCGTTTTGGATGTAGATATATGCAGGTTGGAAATGCTGTTGCTGTTCCGGTTGCTCGAGCTCTGGGTTGTTCTCTCGGAATGGCATACATGGGTAGATTAGATGGAGATGGACCACTGTTCAAGCTGCCCAAGAGCTTTACGAGAACTCCTGTAGTGTTTTCAGGAGGTGAAGACGCAGATATGGAACAAGTGCTTGATTGATAATTTAGTTTGTGCAGCTGACTTAAGTGCATCGATATGAACTGATATAATCTTTTGTCAAAACTGGCAGCGTTTTGCTGGCTCTGCATTTTTGCTATTCGGCGAACCCAGATTTTTTTTGTAACATTATTAGAATCAAAAGGGTTCCACCAGAAATTTTGCCTGTGAAACTCTCCTCCTTTATTTTTCTCAAAGAACCAATTCTCTTGCTTTATTTGATGCATGCAAAGATACCACTGATTCCACCAGAAATCTTGGCCAGTTGTTTCAATGCTAGATAACTCTGTTGGTGAGTATTGTTTGTGAGAATTATTGACAGTTGGTAGCAATTTTGAGGGTTTTTTTTTAATTTTTACATTTTTTAAACTAATTTTAAATCTAACAATGTTTAATTTTTTTTTCCAAATCTAACACTTTTAGCCGCGCCTATTGCTATGGCGCGGCGAAATGCCTGTGCCGCGCCATACATAATGGCGCGGCGAGAGGGCTGACGTGGCGATGACCGGGACGCTGACCAGTGACGTGGCAGGGTCTACCGCGCCACCGATCTGCCGCGCCAAGGACCACGGCGCGGCAGTCCCCGGCACGCGTGACCCACTTCCACATGCCTAGTCAAGCGTCCGCGCCCCGACAGCCTATTGCATGCGCGCGCCGGCGGCACGACAGGCCTGCAGCCTACTGCATGCACCGAAGCCTGTGTTCAAGCGGCACGGAAACCAATAAAACATAAATATTTTATTTAAATTGGTATATCTTTTAAATGATGTATTCATTTTCAATTCTGTTTGCACTGAAATATTCTACGTGACGAGACGAACAAAACTAGACTCCATGTGCCTATGTTTTGAAGAATTTTTTTAGTAGCAATTTATGCCTAAAAATGTGCTAGGTGATTTATGAAAAAGATGTTACCATGAAATACTAAATTTGCTATTAAAAATATACTAAAGTTTTTACATGATACTCCCTCCGTCCGTGAATACAGGCGTAACTGCTTTTTTTTCAAGTCCTGAATGCTATACGGCGGGCGGCTGGCGGCTCACATTCGCTTGCAACATTTAGGGCTTGTTCAAGTTTAAGCCACCGGTCCGGCTTTTTTTTTCTCTCACGAAATTACTGTTCATATCCCGCCGTAATGATATTTTTCTCTCACAACAATCAGCCCGAATGCAAAGATTTTTCACCCCGCCGAATGGCCCTTAACTTCGCCACCCTTCTCCTCGGCTCCCACGCTGCATGCAGCTGGCCGTTACACTCACAAATAAGCATGCATGTTCTCTCGAGCGAGACTAGTAGTACTACTCCTATACGAAGGCAAGCACTATAAGTTCTCTGGATGCATCCTCTTTTCTCTAGTGGCCATCTTCTCGCTGCATGAGTAAGCAACATCTTCTTCTGTGAGACTAGTGCAGAATCTAACATTTTTGTGCAGCGACGAAGATGGCAGAGGTGACTGCGGCTGCGGAGGCTGCTGCGGCGCAGGCAAGGCAGCAATTCGCCATTGCTTGGCGCATGCGTCGGAGGGCACAGAAGGAGCTTGGCCGTGCTCGAGTGCTCCGTGTCTGCGCCATCCGCATGCGACGGCAAGCGCAGGCCGAGCTTGGCGCCATGCGAAAGTGCTCCGCCTCCGTCGAAGAAGTGGAGCTCCGCCGTGCGGGAGCTCTGTCCAACACTGGTGGAGCTCATCCGCTCACAATAATGGACGAAAGTGAAGTGGCCGATGACACCGAAGAAGAAGCTAGTATTGCTGCACACGTTGCTGCTGAAGCAGAAAAGGATGAGAAAGCCCTTGCGATTGTCCGTCCAATGATGTTTAAATTTTTTTCTTTTTGTTTTCAAAAGCTAAAATTCCACCACCAGTTTGTCCATCTCGCCATACGCGCTGGACAACTCTCCACGGAACACCCATATTAGCAGCAACGGACTTCGTTACTCCTTTCATCATGCCTAGAGCTGATCTTTCTAAGCACATGGCATAGATGACCCTTTTTATGTCAGGAGGGTAGTGCCTCCTCCTCTTGATATTGTTATGAGTGCCTACACACACAAAAAACATGCTCATGTTCAAACAGTCGTACGTGCATGGGACATGCACGCAGCAACAAAAATAAATGGAAAAACATTGACGCCAAAGATCGTAACGTCCATCGGGTACTAACCTGAATCGAATGCTTCATCGGCAGCGGCATCATTTTGGTCCATGGCATGTGCACCGTTGTCCGTTTCTTCAGTTTGGTCCATGACGTGTACACCGTTGTCCGCTTCTCCAGCTTCAGGTTGAGCCACGGCCTCTCCTTCAGCTCCAGCTTCATCCGTGCCATCAGCTGCGTCGTTGTAGATCTCGTCGTCATCGCCATCACCTGCGATGCCACCGAAATATTACACTTGGAAAGACGCACATGAAAACATAATCGAAACATAGAAATGGAAACCATGAGTACCTTCGTTGCCGGGGTCCCAAAGGAAATCATAGTCCAAATCTAGTACGCCTCCTTCAAATTCCTCAATTTCATCCCAATCAAAAGGTTGATTCAAATCTAGACCGGGCATTATGAGTAGAGGGAAGATTAGAGGAGTAAGATATGTGGTGTCCACTGTGAATAAGCATTCCCCTATTTATAGGAGGAACATACCGGAGGCACAGGCCATGGCGCCACATGCAAATCAATTTCCATTAGCGCCAATGAAAATTTGGTACACGCCAAGGGACTAAACAGGCACGCGCCAAGGAAGGAAATTTCCATTACATGCGAGAGAAATTAGCGCGCGCCGTGCTGCAGTTTCATTGCCGCGCCAACGGGAAAGAAAATCCATCTGCATGCATGCAGCGTAGGGCAAGGGAATAGTCCGAGCCGTTGCTTTGGCGCGCGGAAGAGTGAATGGGCTTGCCGTTGATGCATGCACGCATGCGCGACAGCTAATTAATTAGACGCGGAGTCGAAGCATTCTCCTCGGAAGCCACATCATTAAACTCGTTTATTGGTCTTGGTGAAAATGGAATGGCGCCCTGTATTCAGGGACGGAGGGAGTATGAGTATGTGCATTGATTGTTGCCATGAGAATATATTATATATTATTATATTGTTGCCATGAGGGTAGCGATACAAAATAAGTCAAGTTACAATCTTGGGGCAAATTATTAGAACAAATATTTGCATAAGTTGTCAACCAAAGGAGCAAATTATTATAAAACCTATTTATAAGCCGGAAAACATGACCAGTAGTCAGTTGGAGGGACATTTATTAACAAGACAAGAGTAGCGACCCAAATAATACAAGTTGCACCCAGGACAAATTATTAGAAGAAGCATTGCATAAGATGCCAACTTTACGGATAAGCTATTATACAACTAATAGGTAGGATTTAAGAATACATTCGAACCTAAAAGACAGACTAAAAACATAAACTAAAAATACAGAAACTAAAAATACTTGACTGAAACTAAAAAAATGAAAAAAAATGACTGAAAACAGAAAATAAATAAACATTGAAAAAATATGTAACTAAAAATAAAAGAAACAATGAAAAAATGAAATAATGAAACTAAAAAAATATACACAATAAAAAATGAAACATAAAACCGAAATAGGCAAGAACTTATATTTTATATAGTGGTAAGCAAAAACTTTTTGAGCAAAATAACTTACGGTCAAGTATTTAGTTTTTTTTTCATTTTTTTAGTTTCAGTTTTCAGTCAAGTATTTTTAGTTTCTGTATTTTTAGTGTCTGTTTTTAGTCTGCCTTTTAGGTTCGAATGTATTCCTAAATCCTACCTATTAGTTGTATAATAGCTTACTTGTAAAGTTGGCACCTTATGTAATACTTTTTCTAATAATTTGTCCTAGGTGCAACTTGTATTATTTGGGTCGCCACTCTTGTCTTGTTAATAAATGTCCCTCCAACTGACTGCTGGTCATATTTCCCGGCTTATAAATGGATTTTATAATAACTTGCTCCTTTGGTTGGCAGCTTATGCAAATGCAAATGCTTGTTCTAATAATTTGCCCCAAGATTGTAGCTTGCCTTATTTTGTATCGCTACCCTCATGGCAACAATATAATGGTCCCGTTCGGCTTGCTGAATCTTGGCTGAAAAACACTGTTCTGACTGAAATGTTGTGAGAGAAAAATATTGTTCCGGCTAAAAAAAAAAGCTGAACAAGCCGGATATGGGGTAAGCCGAACATGGCCAATAATATATAATATATTCTCATGGCAACAATCGATGCGCATACTTATATCATGTAAAAACTTTAGTATATTTTTTAATAGCAAATTTAGTATTTTATGGTAACAACTTTTTCATAAATCACCTAGCACATTTTTACGCATAAATTGCTACTAAAATAAAATTCTTCAAAACATAGCACATGGGGTCTAGTTTTGTTCGTCTCGTCACGTAGAATATTTCGGTGCAAACAGAATTGAAAATAAATACATAATTTAAAAGATATACCAATTTAAATAAAATATTTATGTTTTATTGGTTTCCGTGCCGCTTGAACACAGGCTTCGGTGCATGCAGTAGGCTGCAGGCCTGTCGCATGCAATAGGCTGTCGGGGCGCGGACGCTTGACTACGCATGTGGAAGTAGGTCACGCGTGCCGGGGACTGCCGCGCCGTGGTTCTTGGCGCCGCGTCAAGATCGGTGGCACGGCAGATCCTGCCACGTCATCGGTCAGTGTCCAGGTCGTCGCCACGTCAGTCCTCTCGTCGCGCCACCATGTATGGCGTGGCACAGGTATTTCGCCGCGCCATGGCAATAGGCGTCGTCAAAAGTGTTAGATTTGAAGAAAAAAAAAACAGTGTTAGATTTAAAATTAGTTTAAAAAGTATTAAAATTAAAAAAAAATCGCAATTTTAAGGTACGACTCGGTTGCGAAGCTGAGTCATATGCTCTGCATCTGTGGATACTCTGCACTGTGCACACATTTGTCGTCACGGAAGGGAAGATGGCACCGACGATTGTACGGAGATAAAGTCATGAAGTGTTCTTGCCTCAAAGGGGAAAATAGACTACAAGATGTCAGATGCACACATTTTGGGACACGTCACACGTCTGACATTCTGTAAATCACCGAGCTCCAATGGCCGACAGCATCCCAATGGCTAAAAATGGAAAAATTACCAAGGAGGGCAACGGCTCTCGTCCTGGAAATGAGGCATGGTCGCATGGCGGTGCGGTGGAGGTTGGGCAATGTGACGCTTTGAGCCTACTTCCCTTTCCTCCGTCTCCGTGGTTCGGTTTCAACCCCTTCGCTTCTTCCGCAGAAGAACACGGAGAATAGGAAGGTACGCCATGAGCGCATGAATTCTTCGCGTTTTGACGCCTTTGTATATCGGCTTGGTTCCTCGCGCCTCTGATCCCGGCTCTGTCGGCATTTGCATTGCAGGGGTTCATCACGCCGACGGGAGGAGGAGGTGCGCCATTCCAATCCAACCCCGGCCCACCCTCTAGAGGGTGGGGACGTGGGGTGGATCATCCTCCTCACCGGGAGAGAACTCCATCCCCGTTAAGGCGTTAAACAATCATGGCCACGCCGCTAGACGGATTGGGATTGCCCGCTCCAGCTGATGACGACACGTCGTCGCCGCCTCCTTCCAACTCGTCGCCCAAGCCCTCCTCCGGCTCGGGCTCGGGCTCGGGCTCGCCGTCGCCGTCGCCACCCACACCGTCGCTGTCGCCGCCACCGGCGTCGCCGCAGAATAGCAGCGCGTTGCCACCCCCGGCGCCTGCGGCCAGAGGCTCGCCGCCGGCAGCGCCGTCAAGGGACTCCCCGTCACAACCGGCTCCGAAGCGCAGCGGTGGTGACTCCGACAAGAGTAGTAGCCGCAGCAAGAGCGGGAGCAGCAGCAGCAACGGGTCAGCGCAGGTGGGTGTCATCCTGGCCGGCGTGGTGATCGGGGTCCTGGCCTTCGGCCTGCTGATGTGCATCGCCGCGTGCGTGTGCTGCGCCAAGAAGAAGAGGAGGAAGAAGCCCCCGCACATGAACATGCCGTACTACACCGACGAGCACGGTACACGCTGCATGCTGACGACATGCAAATGGCGAGAGTGCGGACAAACAACTAACATGGCGTGCGTGCGTGCAGGGAACGTCTTCTACGCGAACAGCATGCCCAAGTGGCAGAGCAGCGCGATGGACCACGGCTGGCACGCGCCGTACTCGCCGGCGAGCGGGGACATGAGCGGCTCGCACGGGCAGATGCCGCCGTCGCCGGGCATGCCGTCTCTGGGGTTCTCCAGAGCTCGTTCTCGTACGACGAGCTGGCGGCGGCGACGGGCGGCTTCTCGTCGGCGAACGTGCTGGGGCAGGGCGGGTTCGGGTACGTGTACAAGGGCGTACTCGCGGGCAGCGGCAAGGAGGTGGCCGTGAAGCAGCTCAAGGCCGGGAGCGGGCAGGGCGAGCGCGAGTTCCAGGCCGAGGTGGAGATCATCAGCCGAGTCCACCACCGCCACCTCGTCACCCTCGTCGGGTACTGCATCGCCGGCTCCTCCCAGCGCCTGCTTGTCTACGAGTTCGTGCCCAACAATACCCTCGAGCACCACCTCCACGGTCCGTACGCGGCGCGTGCGTTGCGCTCTTGAGCTTTTCCTTTTCCGTCCTGGACATCCTGATTGCTGGTTGTGATGCATTGCGTGGTGGGTGCAGGGAAGGGCGTGCCGGTGATGGAGTGGCCGAGGAGGCTCGCCGTCGCCCTCGGCTCCGCCAAGGGCCTGGCTTACCTGCACGAAGATTGTAAGCTCCAAATCGATTAGTTCCTTCTGTCGCTTGACGATTTCTTGCGAGGTATCCCATGTTCATCTTTGACGATTTTCCTTGCTAATGACAATGTGCATGGTGAAACACAAATTAAGGCCACCCCAGGATCATCCACCGTGATATCAAGGCGGCCAACATCCTTTTGGACGAAAATTTCGAGGCCAAGGTACGCGTTTGACTGAACAAAACAAGACCGGGCGGATCACCGAAGTGAATTTGTAACTCGTTCGCGCTGGTACGTCTCAGGTCGCGGATTTCGGACTTGCCAAGCTGACCACAGACACCAACACGCACGTCTCCACGCGCGTCATGGGAACTTTCGGGTAAGCTCCATGCCGCGCCGACGGCAAGCGTGCATTCGGCGACACAAAGGATGCCAAAAAAAAAGGTGCCTGGATGACCGATCGGCCCGTTTCCCTGTATGCGCGCAGGTATTTGGCCCCGGAGTACGCGTCGAGCGGCAAGCTCACCGACAAGTCGGACGTGTTCTCCTTCGGCGTCATGCTCCTGGAGCTCATCACCGGCAAGAGACCGGTTGATCCCACAAACTACATGGAGGACAGCCTGGTTGACTGGGTACGCTGGCCTCCCTCCCCCTCTGTGTTGTGTTGCCTTGCATTGCATTGCAGCTGCCTCCATCCGCGCATGCATGCAAGGGTTCGCACGCTGGATTCTCACACGTTCGCGGCGGTGGTGCGCAGGCGAGGCCTCTCTTGGCGCGCGCCTTGTCTGAGGAAGGCAACTTCGACGAGCTGCTGGACCCGCGGCTGGAGAACAGGATCAACCGGCTGGAGCTGGAGCGGATGTGTGCCTCCGCTGCCGCTGCCGTCCGCCACTCAGCCAAGCGGCGGCCCAAGATGAAACAGGTGAGTTTCAGCTTCGGCTTCCTGAATTTTGCGTTCGAGACCGCTAGCCTGCGAAATGATGCAAGACATTCGAGATTTACCATGAATTGTTTTGCCCTCTGTCCCCCGTTTCTGCAGATTGTTCGTGCTCTGGAAGGGGACGCGTCGCTGGACGACCTGAACGAGGGGGTGAAGCCAGGGCAGAGCATGATGTTCAGCTCTGGCTCGGAATACGACTCCGGCGGCAACTACGCGTCCAACATCAACAGGTTCAGGAAGGTGGCCTTCGAGAGCAGCGAGTACAGCAACGAGTACAGCGGGACAAGCGAGTACGGCGCTGACTCCGAGGATGCGGCGTCCCGGCGGCAGCAACATCGCTGATCGTTTCGAGGGGCGCCTGAGACCTCGTCAAGATGCGTGTGTGAATGTGTGTGATGTACAAATGTACGATATACCGAGGGATCGGTGTCGGTTGTCGGATACTACGAGAGATACCCAACGCTCGTGACAGCTTTAGTACTTGTAATGATCATCATACTGTCATGTAATGTACGTATCTGTGCGTTTCCATGCGCGTAACGTGTTGCTGCTTGCTTGAATTTTGGCGAATTTTGCTGTTACTCCCTCCGACCCATAAACAATGTCATTTTCACTCTCTGAAAAGTCAAACATTTTTTTTACTTTGACTAATTATATATAAAGAATACTAATATTTATAATACATAATTAGTATCATTAAATAAATTGCTAAATTTATTTTCATAATAAATTTATTTAGTGATACATATGTTGCTAATATTTTTTTCTAAAACTAGTTAAACTTGAAAAAGTTTGATCAGCATGTATCTCATAGCGTCATTCTTTTTTGGACTGAAAGAGTAGTTGCGATATGCAGGCCATCTCGTCGAAAGACGCCGAGGAATTAGGAACTTGTACCAAGTTCTCCCGAAGTCGGAGTAACTTTCTAACTCCATTTTAGCTTATGCTGATGCTTATGCTGATTTGTTGTGAGAGAAAAACACTGTTCTTTCGCTAAAAAATATTGCTGAAGTAGTTTAAGCGAACAGGGCCTTATAAGTCGTTCGAACGACTTATAATTTGGAAGTAGTAAACATTCATTCATCGTTGTAGTATCGATAATGCCTAGACCTCTATCCTTTGGCTTGCTCACATACTTCCATTTGGCCTAAACTTGTTTTCTACCCTGCATAAAAAAATTGCCCCGGAGCTATCCATCTTGGAGTGAGCTCCAATAGGCGGAAGGTAGAAACCCAAACCGAAAATAGGCAAGCTGGTTAAGCAAGAATCGGTAAGAATCAATTTACCCTCAGATGTGGTGTTGTTGCCCTTCTAAGGATCAAGTCCCTTGATCGTCTTGCTCTGAATCCCAGCAAAAGCGGTGATACATAATTTGTTGCCAGATGTTAAAATAATGTTCAGGTACTTCGTACGCAAAGTTCCCAAGTACCAATTTAACAAGTTTGCCATTCTTTCTCTCACCCTGTGAAACACCATAAACATAGGCTTCACTCTTATGTCATCTAATTTAGAGATCAGACAGCCATTCAAAATAGTAGAAGATGATTTTAAGATTTAAGATGGACTTATCACCGTCGTCCGCCATGATGATAGTATCATCAACGTACTAAACATTAGAAATCCAACCATATATCATATCAAGAAAAATCCCATTGATGTGTCATTTGGCCATTACCTTATCTAACAGACAGCTGAATACATTGGTCCAAATTAAAGAGCAAGTGAACAATGCAGAAAGAGGATCTTGCCTTTTAGTAGCCCTATAGAAGTCTTGAAGTAGGGGGGGGGGGGGTCTTTGCCCATTCATATTTGCACACAGTGACGGAGCCATGAAAAGGTTATAGGTGGGGCGAATTGCAACGAAGAAATGAACCAAAAAGACACTATATTCACAATGGTGCCGCATTCACGTACTACAATCACACAAATCATGGCGAAACCGCTACAATCACATATTATGACGAAAAGTAGACAAGGAACACGAGATGTTACCTCAAATTGAAGAATAAACTAGTAGTTCTTTATCAGTTGACCCATACATTGCAAAAATACAAATAACGAATGGATGAACCTGTAAATTGAGGTGCTGCCGCTGGTGCTCTCTAGCTAACTGTCCATGACAGCGGTTGCTCTCTAACTAACTCTCCACGACCGCGGCTAGCCCCAGTGCCGGGTACACCCTCACCCTCCTCATGGTGGACCTCCTCCTGTCCTCCTTCGGTCCTCCCTACATCGCAGCAGCCAGTAGAGAACAGAGCAGCAGGGCCAACAGGCAGCGGCGATCGCCTGTAGACATAGCGCCGCAGCGGAGGGGCGCCGTGCGGGCCGATGGCGGTGACCAGCTCTCACGGTCTCTCCTAGGGCATCTGCGTTTCGTTGATTCAGAAATTGGGGATGGGGATAGGGGAAAGATTCCAACGATGGGCTTTGGTGGGCCTCTCGCCTCTACTGGGCTAAAGTGAAGGAAAAGGCCTCCTGGTTTCTTCTTCATCGTTGCAGTCGCTCTGTTCGTGCTCGGTTGCTCGCTCCTCATTGCCGCGATGCCGCCGGGGACCGGGGTTAGGGAAGAAGCGGGGGTCCAGGGGTCTGGTGCGAGCTCGCTGGTAGCTGGGGCGGCCGCCCCACCCCACCCCTAGGGTGGCTGCGCCAGTGTTTGCATAGAGACCAAAGTAGCTTGCTATCACATAGAAATCATCATGGATGGTAGCTTCACATAGGCACCAACTACACAAATATACTTTGCTAGATGGACTCCAAAGCACACAAACACAAGCTCAACACGAAAAGCAAAAACTCAATCTACGCTTAGCCCCTATGGATTTGGATTTCTGAGTGATTAGGGTGCACTGACGAACAGTCCACCTGACGATCCACCAGAGCGAATCTAGCCAAATGAGGCAACTTGCCTGAGTGGTTTCCATAGACAATCTACAAAAGACAACATTTAGTTGGTTTTACTCTAAAATCGTTGCCCAATTCCACGAGCAGTAATTTCATTTTAGGATTGGATATCTTTGGAGTCCGTCAGGAGCACAATCTAAACATGTGTAAGTGATATATTGGTATGTTTTGGGACTGTGCCTATCCACCTTGAGGCTGGGGTACTAGTCCCATGGTCCAACCTCCTAACATAAATCTGGACAAACGTATATTAACCATAATCTAAACACCTAACATATATAAAAGCTTTAATAATTATAACCAAGTAATAAAAATGTGACGCACCAAATATCTATTTTGGACATAAACAATTTATGGGTGATACATCTTAACTAAACATAGCTACCGCATGAATTTCATAATTTCTGGATAAACATATTATTTACTAACGGTTAATTAAGATTTAATGGCAATAAAAGCATGTGACACGTGATAATTCAATAACTCAGTAAATAAAAATCCATTGGACATAAAATTTTTATCAGAGCACACACACATCCATACTAGTTTACCATAAAAATTTCACTACATTTGCACTACCCAAACATCCTCTATTAATTTACCAAGAAAAAACATAGATCTGAAAATACAACAATAATTTTATACTAAAACATGCGATATTATATATCTAATGCATAGATCTAGTCATGTGGAGTGTCACAAAACTAGTTTGGTATTTTTAGGATTTTTTTACAATTTACTATGAATTTTCAAAGTTTCAGCCGAATAAAACATAAAAGAAAAGGAAAAACCATAAAAGACAAAAACTTTGCACCGAGGCCCCTGATCTTTTCCTAAATCAACCCGCAGTCTAGCAGTACTATTCATGTGAGTCATGAGATTTACATTGGAAACCCTGAAAAAGCTTTTATTTATGTGCTAGGTCCTTCTCTTCTTCCTCGTTTTCACCGAGCAGAGGAGGCTCGTGGCAGGACCGATTTGGCCGGCCGAGGCCACCGACGAGGGCGAGGGCGGTGTGCGGGGACAGCAGTGACCCCGGCCGCATGCGTGGGCGGCGGAAGCTCGGGCGGAGGAGTGTGGAGGGCCGGCCGCGTGTGCGTGCGGCTCTGCTGCGCGTAGGCCGACGGCGGCGGCGCTGTGGGGCGCGACGGGCGATGAGGGCGAGCTGCGCGGAACCGGGCGGCCACAGAGTGCCCGCGGCTGGGATCCGCTCGCGCCGGGGCAGGGTGCAGTGGGCAGGCCGAGTGCTCGTGCGGCGGCGGCCCGAGCAGGGGCTACGGCGGCTCCCAGCAACGCGGGCTACGACGAGCACGCGCGGGGCACAACGAGGGGCGAGGTGGAGGTGGGGGCGAGATCAACTTGGCCTATGACCGAACGCAGCAGCGAGAACGGACGGCGTGGCCGCGAGCTCTAGAGCTCGGCCATGGCGGGCGGTAAGAGCAGCGAAGCGAAAGGAAGGGAGCGATAAAAGAAGGCCGAGCGCGATGGGATAAGGTCGTGGCGAGGGAGCAGCGCGGCATGGGCGCTGGGCGTGAGCAGGAGCGGGCAGAGGCGACGTGGGCGCGGCATGGCGGCCTGGGCGCACTGGCGCGCACAGAGCAGGGCATGGGCGACGACACAGTAGGGTAAGGCGTGTCCAGTGCGATGTGCTTCCCTTGACCGCACTGTTTTGGCATATTCCGTCAAGATTTGGAGCAGGTACTGTAACAAAAGATCTTCACCTCAGGCTAAACTTCTATTCTTATTAAGGGACCAAGGTCATTAGGGCAGCGGATTAGGAGATAAACACGCTCAAATTTGGTAGTGTCAGCGAAATCACAGAGCATAACTTTCTAAGTCACCCAGGAAACAATATTTTATTCAAATTTGGGAGCACTAACTAAACTGTCAAACGTTCAAATTAGGCACAAACAAGCACCCTACCAGGAAGTACATGACTTATACTGCGCTTTTCATATTAACAAAATTTTAAGTATATTAAGAAAATGATTATTTATCTAGCTCTCAAAAACTACTAAGCAATTAAAATCCAGTTAGGTTTTTTGGTATTTTTAGACATTTTCTTCACATTTTTCCAACATAAACCATAAATAACTTTTGTTTGCAAACTCATTTAGAGATGTTTAAGCATAAAAAAATTAAAGTTGGTTGACATCACATATGTTGACCTTATATTAACAAAAGGTGATTCAAACAAAGAAAGCCTCGTCATTTTGTGCTCTTTTGATTTCCAACATTATGCAAACACCGCATACGATCAAAATACACTTAGGTTCATGCAAAGCACTTAAGCAACACTATTCATGCACATTTTTATTACGGACAAAAGATTTGTCTTTCCCTAAAAAGATTTGAGTTGGCTATAATTTAAAAGAACTTTTACTCCACATTGTTAGTATTACAATAGAAAGATCATTACAGAGCACATGAAACTTACTAAT